TGAAGGCTTCTCTGATCTGTGTAGCTGCAGAAGCTGAAGAACAGGAAGCAGGACAAAGAAGTAGGCAGGCCACGGGCTGGTGGATGCAGAATTAAAATAATTTGAGGTCAGCTGAATGAATTCCAAGGTTGACACTCCTGGAATCAGCAGGTAATACAGCATGTGATCAGTAAACCACAGGCAGTTCTAGACCCAGCCGCAGGTGACCAGACATAGTCTTGTCAGCTCAGTATCTCTCTTCTATCAAAGGTTATATGCCCAAGGAGGTGTCATCTTGCTGCAACCAGACCGATAGGCTGGGCTCCACTCTTACTTTCACCCAAGATATATATTTGACCTAAACTCTATCACAGACCACCCCTTGTAAATTTGACACCTGTAGGCAGCTCTTTAACCATGCATGATCTCCAAACAAAGACAATAATAAAATCATACTTGAACCTAACGTGATTTAACTCTTGTACAACTGAGAACACACTAAACTCCTTTTAATCTTATATTTTATACATGAACAAAACAAAAAGATGTGATGCTTACACACAAATAGGATTTACTCAAAAACAGAAATTTAGGATTTACATGCAAATAGAAATTACAGTCCTCATATCTGCGGCTGGCCACAGGGCTGTAGCTGGTATTTAGAATTCCATTCTTCTACCAATTCCATATTTCCTTTACCCTCAGGGAGTATCTTGTCCGGTACTTTGCCTGGGGAGGGGTTACTCTAACTTTCAACCCTGAAGAGTCTGGGCCATTAGTAATCATGTCAGAAGTGGGGTGCTATAGTTTACCATTGACTTTATTTGCAGGACGTGGTAATACTAAGGCAACCTAAGCAAGCTCCTTTATGTCAGACATATTATTGTTTACCTCCATGATGAAATATTAATCCAATTTTTGCTTGGTAACCAGGATCATTATCACCACTCAATACAGTAATCTCCTGATTTTCCAGTTGATCCACACGCATTAGGGGTGAAAAAAAAAATGGCCAGGAAGCAGGCTTAACTCCATTTCGATGGAATCAGGGCTGTGCCTCGCAGTAGGAGTAGTTCTCCCTTTGGAAGTAAGACTTCCAGACCCAAATAGAGAGTTGCAGGGGCAGGAAGCGAAAACGTGGTGAGTGGGTCATTAGCAATCATAGTGAGTGGTGCCACTCCTATTTCCACTTCTTGATTCCTGGTTTTTGGACACTATATTTTGGACACTAGTTTATGGCATATGCTGCCTCCTGGAGAGCGCTGCCCCACCCTTACAAGGTGTTGCTACCATAATAGCATTGCAATCATCTTGTTAGAAGTCAGTTCCTTTGTTCTACCAAGCTAGCTGTTTCGAGATGATGGTGGGCATGATTAGACTGGTGGGTTCTATGAGCATAGGCCCATTGCCACACTTCATTTACTATGAAGTGAGTCCCTTGATCTAAGGCAATGCTGGGCAGGATACAATATCACTGGGTGAAAAATTCTGTAAATGCATTGAATGGTAATTTTGGCAGAAGTATATGGCATGCAGGGAAAGCAAATACAAATCCCAGAGTAAGTCCCTGTCTATTACAGTAAGAACCAAATGATGCTCTTTTCAAGAAGGAAGTGGGCCTTTGTAATCAACCTGCCACCAGGTTGCTGGTGAATTTCCTGAGGAATGGTCCCAGATCTTGGGCTCAGTGTTGGTCTCTGGTGCTGGCAGATAAGAAACTGAACACAGGCAGTAGGCAAGTCAGCCTTGGC